CGACTCTTCCGTGTTGGACCTTTAGCTCTTATGCACCTTTCACAATTGGCGATCCAATCGGCAATGGATTTTTGGCAGCCGACCAAGTAGAATCTCTGCTTTACCTTTTCAGCGGTTTTTGCTATGCCAATATGTCCTCCACTTGGCCCATCGTGAAACAAGTTCCGGTGAGATTTACCGCCCTCACTTTCCCATTTGCGATATAAGCAACCATCTATTATAAGTAGACTGTCCCACTGGGCCCAATAGGATTTTAAAAGAGGGCTTTCGGAGGTAATTTCTTTGCGACTAGGTCGCTTGCCCGTTTCTATGGCCGCAATTATTTTGCCCAGAATGGGATCCCCTCGTTGTTCCGTCGACCAATCTTCACCCGACTCAAACTGCAATAGTCGGACATCAACGATATTCTCTTTACACTCAGCCTTTGAGCAATGCCTGCATTCTACCTTACCGTGTTTTCCGACTTTTCTGTGCTCGATTCTGAAGTCATAACTCTGGAGCCTCTCAATCCAACGGGCTAGTTGACCTTCAGGATTCTTAAACTGCAGCAACCATTGGAGAGCAGCGTGGTCGGTCCTCAGCAGAAAATGCTGGCCATATAGGCATTTGTGGTAGTGTTTAACGCTCTCAAGGACAGCAAGCAGCTCTCTCCTCGTCACACAGTAATACCTCTCAGGCTTCGGCAATGTCCGGCTGTAGTACCCGATGACTTTTTCCTGTCCGTCGATTTCCTGGGAAAGGACGCCACCGATGCCGCACGCACTTGCGTCTGTGTCCAGAGCAAACTTGCCACCAGGTATAGGGTATGCCAAAATGGGGGCTCTACATAGTATGTCTTTGAGCTTTCTGAATGACTCTTCTTGGTCGTTGCCCCACTGAAACCTCTGGCCTTTTTGCGTCAAGCGGTGTAGACAGGCGGTGATGTTGGCAAAATTTGGGACAAATCGACGGTAGTAGGTGCAGAGACCCAGAAAGCTTCGCAGCTCATGGAGATTTCGGGGCTGCGGCCAATCTCTGACGGCTTGAAATTTCTCCTTATCCGTCGATATGCCCTCCGGCGTCACGTGATGCCCCAGGAACTTCACCTCTCGTTGGAAGAGACTGCACTTCTTTGGGTTTAACTTGAGGCCTGAAGACGAAAGCTGCTGTAGAACATCCTTTAAGTTCTTGATGTGTTCGTCGAAGTTGCGTCCCATGACTATGATGTCATCCAGGTATATGAGCACGACTTCCACTGCAGCCCTTTTAACACACGCTCCATCAGCCTTTGAAATGTAGCCGGGGCGTTGCAGAGTCCGAATGGCATGACACTGAACTGCCAGAGACCCCCATTAACGCCAAACGCTGTTTTCTCTTTATCTTTTTCGGCGATCTCTACTTGCCAGTACCCACTCTGCAGGTCGAGGGTGGAGAACCATGACGTCCCGGCTAATGTGTCCAATGTGTCGTCGATTCTTGGGAGCGGATAGCTGTCTTTCTTGGTGACATCATTCAACTTTCGGTAGTCCACACAAAATCGGGTGCTTCCGTCTTTCTTCTTGACCAAGACCACTGGGGAGCACCATGGACTTGACGATGGTTCTATTCGACACTCTTTTCCATTTCACTAATCAGCTTCTGGACCTCGTCTCTTTTTGCCAGGATAACACTTCTTGGAGGCTGTTTAATGGGTCTCGCGTCTGCTGTATGGATTTCATGCTTCACCACTGATGTTCTTCCTTGGTGCTCTTTTGTCAACGCAAAGGTAGAGGCATATTTCCATAATAGCTGCCTAGCCTTGTTCCTCTCGGAAGGTGATAATTGGTGTGTCCACTCTTTTATGTAGCCGTCGAGGTGCTTCTTCTCCATGGCTGCTGGCTTTTCGGTGCTAGTTTCAAAATTAATTACAGCTTCAGCTGGTGTGCATTGTCCAACTTCGGAAAATTGGCAAATTTGCTCTTGCTTGTTTGACAGGTTCAAAACTCTAACAGGAATCAATCCGTCCTTGTTGCTTTTCACCAGGGCATTCGCTATTAGAATGTTACTGTTTATGTTTTCTGCTGGTTCCACCACCCACAACTTCTCGGCTCCACAATCTCCATTCATTGGTACCCATATTATTGCTTCGGCACAGGGCGGTATTATCTCTGGATGGTCCGTAGTCAGACGTCTAATGGGTGTACTTTCATCGTAGCCCACGTTTAACGGAATTTCGACGTTAGACCAGGTCATCACACGCTCTTTCATATCCAGATTGATACCAAAGGCAATCATAAAATCTGCGCCTATGATCACTTCGTCTACGATATCGGCAACTATAAACTCGTAATTCTCCGATTTATTGGCAATAGTTAGTCTCAGGGTAATCTTGCCGTGTACTGCCGCGGGCTCCCCCGTTGCTGTGCGCAGTCTGACTCCATTAAGTTGCGTTATTTTTCCCTTTACCAGATCTGATCTTATGATGGACTTTGATGCGCCAGTATCTAACGTCAGAACTCGCTTGTCACCATTGATGTACCCAGTTGTTGTTAGGTTGTGACTTTTCTGTTGTACTATTGCTATGGAGATTGTGGGGCCATCGTCGATGGGAGCCAGTTCATGCCCCGCTGGACTGGCTCGATTTAGTTTAACGGTGACTCATTGGTGGACTGTTGAGCCATTCTTCTACCATCTTTCGTTGGAGGTGGTGACGATGACCTGGATCGTTTGCGCTTAGCTCTGCATTCGCGCGCAATATGACCTGCTTTATCGCAGTTGTAGCATCTAATCCTGGGCTTAGTCATCCCTACTAACTTTGTTTCTTCTATTACCTGCCTCATGGCGTCCTTGATCGAGTTAACGAGAGATTTGGGTTCGCAACATTCGGTCTCCAGTTGGCGAATCTTGTGGGTCTGGGGCTTAACAATTATTCTTGCCGTCTCTTGGGCAAGGGCAAACGACACGGTTTCGGCAAATGACGCTTTTGGTGACGCATATGTTGCACATTTAATATCAGGGTCACGTATGCCATTCACAAAGGTTTCGATTTTCATACGGTCCAGCAATGGGTGATTCTCTCCTGGATACGTCATTAGCACCAAACGTTCCACCTCAGCTGCAAAGTCTTGTAACGTCTCGTTTGCCCTCTGTACTCGACCCCTTAGTTCCATAAGGTAGATGTTTTGTTTATGTTCGCCACCGTACTTACGTTCCAGTGCAGCAATAACATCTTCATAGTTGTTCCTAGAAGCGACAGGAATACTCTGTATAACATCAGCAGCACTGCCCTTCATTGCCAGAAGTAGTGCAACCGCTTTGTCGCTGTCGTTCCACGAATTTCTAGAAGCCACTGTCTCGAACTGTAACTTGAAAACATTGAATGACGTAGAGCCGCCGAATACAGGAGGTTTGGTTTTTAGTGTGTTATCAGGAACTCTCACCGGACCACCTTTAGTTTCCAGTTCCGACATTTTCTTCTCCAGATTCGTAAACCTGTGGTCGTGGACCAGAAATTTCTTATCCACAGACAGAATCTTCTCGTCAACGGACTGCACTTTCTTATCCAACTCTTTAATTTGGACCTCCACGGTTTCCACTCTCCTTCCAATAACTTCTGTAATGTTCTCGAGTTTCTCGTTCATTATTCTCGAATTTTCATCTAACTTTCTGGAATTTTCTTCGAACATTCGTCTCGTGTTTTCTTCTAACTTTCTGGAATTCTCTTCGAACATTCGTCTCGTGTTTTCTTCGCTCCTTCTGGAATTTTCCTCAAACATTTTAGCCAGCATTTCTCTGAAATCGTCACCCCTGGCAGCTACTGACGAGACTTCCCCACCGTTGGATTCGCCCATTTCCGATAAATCCACTTCATCCTTACTGTCAAACTCATATGTATCGATGTTCATACCACGGCGCTCGAACTCATCCAACAGACGTTTTTGTAGTTCAGCCTTGTTGCCAGTAGAGGACAATTCCAATTTATTGAGCTCCTTCTTCAAGTCTTCCACTCGTAGATCCTTAAACTTCATCGTAGTATTATCGTAATCTCACTTCCGACACCAATTGTTACGTTCTTGGATTTTTCTTAATCCCTTGTAGACGTTGTTTTATTTCCCAATACAGTTCGTACCTAATAAAACACGGGTTCTTTCTGATTACGAATATTACAATGATTTTTATTGACACAACTTTACTTTGCACTTTGACGGTTTCAATTCGCGATCTGATTCACAACTGACTAACTGCCTTGCCATTTCCCCTATTTATATGAGCTTTGCCTGTCGCTCAGAAGTTTCTAGACGATCTGGTAACACCTAGATTACGAACAATCTACCAATGCAACAAACACATACAAACTTACATTGAGTGAACAATAACAACAACACATATACAGGCGAGGGAGTAACAAAGAAAGAGGAATTAAGCGATCATCAATGATGACGTTTAACAAGAATTGTACGTCAATAACAAAATAGAAAATGAAAGAGGAAATGGAAGGATGTAGAAAAATCTATACAGTAGTTGTTGTTGTGAAGTTATTCGAATAAACTGCGTAGTAGAAATTTACGTTACAATTCAAATTCTTAAATTAACGGAATTCATGTAAATAAACTTAAATCTAAAGTTATATTCGTAAGAATATTTTTTATATGACAGCCAGTTAAATGCATGATTGTCCTCTAAAAAAGAGGACGTATGGTCACCTTACTATAGTTAAATTTTATAAAAGACATTTTTATGGGGCTTAAAAGCGAAAACGAGGCGAAACTGTAAATCTATAATTATTAATTTCAAAAGTAAACATACAATAAAACGTGAATTTTAAATTTCTGCGCCCTAGATATATTTTCCCACTGTGCAAGGTTGACAGAAATTGGGCTCTCCAGCCTTTTGTTACTGGTTTTTCTTTTGATTGGATATTTTATTAATACTTTTATTGAATATTTACCTATTATTGTATAACTTTTAATTTGGGACTGAACACATTTTATTTACATGAATTATATAACAATGTAAAAAGTAATAAAATTCTTTATTTGCAGGTCAATTAGAGCATTCCAAGAGATCCTCTATATGAATTCACATTTTCCGTGTTCTAATGATATACACCTTCGCCTCGGTTTTATGCACAAAATTCTTGGAAACTATAAGTCGTCTATAAAGCACTATACACTTGCTCTGATAGATTCATCGCCATGTACATTTACGAAACACCTAAGTAAGTTGTATAACTTTTCTTTTTCTTTTTCCTTTTTTAGTATAATAAAAATATAATATGTTATATATAATATCTAATTAAATAATAACAAAGTGCAACATTTTCTAAACAGATAGTTTCAGTGTCAGTGTTTGTACGGCTAATTTGATAGCATTCAATTTTGCAACCTCCTTGTTCCAATGTATTGGGAGTCTTGTTATTTTGCTTAATACTCATAAGATTTACTGTCACAACAGTAACAGACTATTCTTTAATGTTTTTCTTTCATTTGTCAGATATTTCCTTAATTGTGGTTTCTTTCCATTTATTTTCCTTTGGATTATACTGATAGCAAAGTCTTCTTGATTACCTTTTATTTCGTCTACTACCTCCAATGCATCCAGAAATGATTGTAAATTGTTTTGGTTTCCGTCGTATTCCGGGACTAGTCTGGGGACGTGAGTCAAAATATAATCTTTCGTTGTTTGTGGCATTTTGTTTTCTGTGGCATTGTCTTCTATATCTGAACTATTATCTTCTTCGAGTGTTTTCAAAACTCCTGACCCTGATATTTATATCTATTTGAAAAGGTTCCTCTATTAAATACGGAACTTCTATCGGTATCGATCATTAGCGTATAGTATATTGTACTGTATAGTTGTATTGCATTGTACAAGTTCATTCGAGCATATGAATATTATGCTCTAGAATGAACTTGTCAAAATACCTATATGTTTTTACCGTTTCTGCTTCTGTTGATGAATTTATATGATTTTTAAATTTTTTTCCTTTTCTGCATCAATTAATTTTTTCAACAATTCATATTCCATGTTTTTTGTAAATGCTATTCCTTTCCCTTAAATATCTTAATTTAAATCTTATTATGTACTTCAGACATTTTCATTGAAAAGTACAAAATTATGGCTAAGGCTAATATAATTATTAGGCAAATTTCCATTTTCGACAAATTCGATTTTCCTTTAGTGGGTTCTGAAGGAGCCTTGAGCCTGGAACGTTTAAAAGTGCTAATGCTGCAAACGTGTGCTACCATTTTAACATTAAAAAGTCTGTTATTATTTAATAGAAGATCAATTTAGTCTATTATCCTCCAAAGTGCAGCAGATCTTTCCCAAGGTAGTGGTGGATCTGCGACGATGGCCCTTAGGTGGATATTCTTCCCACGCTTCTCTCCCGTTTATTCGGCTTCTTAGCCACTGGAATTGGAATTTCATCTTTAGCCACGTCTGATTAATCCTTCTCTTGCATTACTCAATTGTTAGAGTTCTCGACACGACCATACAGGGTTAAAAATGCTAACGCCATAATGGCATTGTTTGCTAAATCCATCATCAAAATATGCAGCACAATTTTAGCAAGCAAAACTAAAGCTTCTTGATATTGTTAGCAACTACAAAGTAGCAATGAACAACTACAACATAATTGACAACGCGACTAACCACCAAAGCTTTCAATGAAGACTAAGCTCCTTGACAGTGACTGCTTAGCAATATTTTAAGCAAACAAAAAACCCAATTATGATAATTTCATTTTTTCGAACAAAGATAATGATTAACTCATGCTAAAGTTTTTTTTAATATAATTTAGTTTTCAGTATTATTATTGAATATTATTATTAAATAACAACACGCAAAATGAAATTCTGTCTTCCTTATAAATTTCCCTTTTTTCTAATTTCTGCTTTGGAAACACGCAGACATAAAAAGAACCCTCGGCTGATTATTCGTCGGCAACGAAATATGAATATTTTGTCGTGCTGCCGTGTGTAAAGCTAATGCAAATATTTTTTGATGCTGCATTTTAAACCCTTGACCCTATCACCCTCCTTCATAACCTCCGGCATGGGTTATACTGCATTGTTTATGGTTTTGGCAGTATGTTCAATGTTTTTTTAATTGTTTGAAAATTTAATTAATAGAAATTTGCATTTTTTACATTTTTCAAAACATCACATACACAGTCACACATTGAGTATACGACTTTGGCATACTAATAGCCTAGACAGACGACAGCCTTAATTTGCATTAACTGCCTTAATTCAAATTAACTTGTACATTATCCTCATTTTTATGTGTTGTTAATGCACAAAATCAAACTGAATTTATACTGAATTAAGCAATTTCAGTATGGCAATGCTGTAGAAAATAAATTGATTGTTCTCAAATTTGTTTACGTTTACGAAAATAAAAATTAAAAATAAAGGCAAAATTCAACATTTCTTCAAATTTGGAGCTGTTTTATCCTCATTATAGCTGTTAGTTTTCCTTCCTGCCATGTATCAATTTCAAAAAGATGTAATCCTAAAAAATATTGTAAAGAAATGTCAATATTTTCTTCCTACACACAGACAAACAATAGTTTTGAAACAAAAAACTGGTTCATAAATGCAGAAACTCTCGTCTGTCAGGGGTAAATTTTAATTCAAATTAAGAACTTTTTAATGCAAATTAAGGCTGTCGTCTGTCTATGGTATAAGCCACAATATGGAAAATTTGTAATTCATAAGTTTCTATAGCCTACATTGAATAGGTTTACCATGGTTTTATCGTATGGGCACCACAACGAATTCGGGAATTCGAAAGCTGAGTTATTGAAGTCAATTGGCTCCAGAGATGGTCCGTCATAAACTGTGACGTAAATGACATACATTTCCGACGTATAATACATACGTCAGAAACGTCGGAAACCTATCCAAAACCATTATGTTTTTGACAAAATAGCTATTTCCATTAAACAATTCGGAAATTACGTATAGTTTACTTAAATCCATATACAATTTCAAAATTTTCTTCTTCAAAAAGTTAAGAATTTTTATCAGTGCTAGTAAGGAATAGTCAGATATATGTAAAAATAATATATATTCCTGAAAATAACTGTATATGGTAATAATATTGAAATAAATGACCTTTACTACATATATTACATTTTATACAGGTAGGGTTTTCAACGTTTACAACTTTTTGACAGTCGAAATCCTAAAAAGTCGTCACACGGACCATACCAGATTGGCTCTATCGTTTTTAAATTTTTTTGAAAATTCAATTATTCGGTCCCGTATGTTGTGTGTATAAACTGATATTCCGAGTAAACTTAGAGCTGGACCAATAATAATTTTAAAAGCTTTAAGAAGAAAGTATGTCTATTTTGGTGAATAGCTCCACTATTGGTTTGATGTTCTTATGACTTTTACTTGTCATAGCAGTACTTAATTTACACATTCTATTATAAATCAGGATGAGACCTCTTTAAATGTCTTCCAAATTGCCAGTATGACCACTTAAAATATTATTGCTGCAACTTTGAAAATTACACACAATTTTGTTTGCTTTGTTTGTATTGAAAAGATCAAGAAGAAAAATATTTTTAGTCCTTGGAGTTTTTATAATTATTCATACAACGTTTGATAAAAAAACTATAGAACTGCAGTAGGACTATTTAATTTTTTATTATTAAATATTTATTTTGTTATGAAAGACCTAAGGGACCAACAAATTATTAAAATATGGTTCGAATTTTAAATTTGTAAATTACATTTAAATTTTTAGAACTTAAAAGTAAATAATATTTAATTAAGAAAAAATACACTTATGACATTTCACAGGGTAAAAACAACTCCTATCAATAACTCGCTTGCGAGGTCATAGAAAAAATTAAAAACGCTATAATATCAGCGGAAATTACTGCCTCTAAAAATAAGTATTTTGTAAGGTAGATAAACATAGCATTCTTGAAATAAAACATAAGCTTATTTTGATACACTAAATATTTTTAAGTTGTTGGGCAGAGTATTGAATAAACACTCTAACAATCTTGGAATTGTTAGATTAGTGTTTCTAGTGGATTTTCAAAAATTAAAAGAGCTGGCAAAAAAGGAGGGAAATTGATATTTGCATATTTTATAGAATAAGGAAAGGTATTGGATATTAACAAATATTGGAAATGGAGATTCTATAAAACGATGAACGAGCGAAGGTTTATATCACAAATATATCTGACGACACTATTAAAAGTCGTTTGAACTCGATCCCTATTAAACATTTATAATCTGGTTATACCGCAAGACAGTGGAGGCTGAGGTGAGGTAGAAGAAGGTCACAATTGTAAAGGCTTCTCAGTGCAATGTTCACTCGAGAGACTACTCTATCAATATGAGTTGAACATTTAATTTATTTTTGTTGTTGAACAACAATTATTATTTATTCTTATTAAATCTTTATGTTTTTGATTGGGTTTTTTGATCAGGCAATTGTTATGAAAATAAAACGAGTTTTATTTCATATTTTGCTTGACGTTTTTGAAAAAATTTCATTGGAATTTCATTATACTTTAAATCCAGTACATTAGCATATGAAGAGAACAATAATGCCTTTGTTTTACTAACATTTACTCTGAGTTTGTTATATCTCATCGAACTTCTAAATAATGACATGATGTGATTGAGTATGAATTAAAAAGCAGCCCTTTCTGAAGTATCCCCAGTAAATAGGAGCTAGATATCGTCTGCGAAGAATGCAGAGCAAAAATTGCGTATGTTTAACGTAATATCAACTCTGTTAGAATTTGTCAATAAAAATTTCGTCGCTCTTAGAAAAATATAAAAAAAAATAAATAAATTGGATAAAGCAGTGCAGATGTTATAATTCTTTTTTTACTGTGTTAGTATCAAAAGTTATTGAAGGAGTTCTTGCTTGTTGTACATTTGTTTATTTTTTGGAAGTAATACACAAAAGTACGAGTTTGCAGAAGAAGAAAAATAAAATTTGCCGCGTAATGTAGTTTATGCGAATGCTGTTTGCAAACTAATTTATGTATGTTAGCAGAGGCTGCTTTTTACTAATTGCCTTGATGATATTGGTATAATATTCGCACAGAGTTTTGTTCTTATTAGAGAAATTACAGCAGTGTGGGAGTGGAATTATTGTTTGCTTGTTGCTTTGTATGCTGTGTTGTTGTACCTGGATTGACCACTTTATTGTATTTGCTGTCGCTTCTTACTGAAGTAT